CATCGGTTTTCTAATTCGTGTTCCGTGATTCCCATTGCGTAGTTCGTGTCCGGAATTCGGTGCGTAACTTCATTACTGATAATGGTTGCCTAATTCCTCAGCAACACTTGGAGTACACGTGCGTATTTACGAACAGAATTTTGTATTGTTTATTGGGTACTGAGCATATTAAAGCAAGCTGTACAATCAGGTCAGATAAAGTGGATAGAAAAGTAAGACAATACATTCTCATAGAGTCGTCAACGCGTGGAACAGACTTCCTGATGAGGTTTTCTCGGTATCCACGATGGAACTCTCTAAAATATGCTTGATGGGGTATAAGATGAAGTCTTCCCTGTATCAGGCTAAGAAAAAACGACGGACAGTCCTTGGGGGTAACTATATCTCCAACTTTGCCTAGAACAGGTCCTCTCCAATGTTCTTTTCTACTAACTATGTCATTTCTTAAACTTCGACTACTTTCTCCTAACCTGTCTTAATCCAGCTCTCCGCACCCTCCTCCCCGTATTAGCATACCCTTCTTTTCTCACCTTATCCTATTTTCGCATGCATGAGGGTTCTATACTGTTTGCTGGAGGAGTACTCGGACCTCCTGGTTAGCCTGTGACTGATCGGTTGGTGCTGCTTCCATCGATAGCAAACCGGATTGGCGCCCCTGCTCTGCGGCAGTACCATTACACAACCATGGACCGATCAACCCACTGTCGTAGCATTGCGAGACACCCGTGGCCCGTAAACGCAAGAACCTGGACTACCTTACTGGCTCAAGCCGCAAGTCCTGTGAACTGTCCTGTTCTGTTCTGTCCTGTCTTTCACCGATGAGGCGAGCAGACATCTCTCCTGTTTCCTCTTTTCTAGACAACGCAGCGTTGGAGGCCAAGAACACCCGCCGACAACACAACAATCTGGACGCTCGATTGGCAAGGGCCATTACACGTCCTGTGAAGACTGGACTGAACTGGACTGCTTTCATTTTCCGCATCTCAGTGATGTTTGCCACCACGGCGTTTTTACGAAATGTGGGTTACTTTTCGGACGCTTGCAAATAGGTTGACGGTTTGAAAGGGTTGGAGGTGTGCGCGGTATATTTTCGGTTCTTCCATCCTTTGACAATCTATTTTTGTCTTTTGCAAATGCAAATTCATGGAATAGCGTTGTATAATTACCTAATAACGGCTGATTTAGTGGGGCTGTTCTCTAATTACCGGTAATATTATATTATAATAAGCCTTGGCTTCTTATGGGTTCCAACCTTCCTATCAAATTGGGACGGTTGACAGCTGCTCAGTTCGGGGCACATTAGTTGCGTCGCAATTCCGTTGAAAACGGTTTTCTAATTATTTGAGTCGTGTCAGCCAGCCGGCTGGGACGCTCACATCGGCGATGGGTCTGGCTAACTGCATGGAGNGCTACGCTTAAATGCATGAATGCGGATTCGGTATACCTAAGATCCCCTATTACTTCTCGGTAAACTGATTTGAATAGCTTTTAATATTTAGCTGATCAAACGCCTTTATGACCCTGGTTGTTACTGAAGGGATCCACAAAAATGGGTAGTACAGTTGTTATTTTTTCTGGTGTGCTTCTGGAATTTATCTAACTGCCAGTTATAAAGATTCCCAGCACCATTGCACTCTATCTACAGACGGTGAAAATTACGATGAAGTTAACGCGGCCTAACGTTAGATTTTCACCTTTTCTGTTGGATCATGGAATACCAGTGGGAGTTAGATGCTTCTAGCCTCATCAAAGCTAACAATAGCCCTGGGTAAAGACTAAACGATCTGAGAAAATTATGAAGAAAAGATCAACCATCTGTTTTATGAAGTTAAATCCAAATAGAACCTGTTATAAACCTCCGTAAGGTGCGCAATATCCAGGACCATGAAATGTGATTCCTATATTGTTGTAGAGTTTTGCTAACGAATTTCAGAACATTTCATAAACTCAACTGCACTTTTCCTTTCAGAGAACTCTGGACTAAGACGGACGTAGTTAGCAGCCAGTCAGTTCATAGATATGATTAACGCATCAAACCAGTCACACTACACATCCGTCATGTCCAGAAGAGTACCTAACGGCGAACGTCGTATTTCACCTACGCCTTCTGAACAGAGCTTCCAGACCACAGTTACGAATCCCGCTTCATTATTTTCCATATCACAAGCTGATGGAATATCAGATTCTATTAGCTTGGCGACAACTGCTGGTCACGATGGCCTTATTTGGGAGCGCCATCCACGTGTTGCAATGCCTGTCGGCTACACGATGGTTAGAGCTCAACCGCCTGGATTTTTGCACTCCAGCGTTTCAGGGCAGTCGCAGCATCAGTCCGAAATGGATTTATTTGAATTTTTAAAAGAAGCACAATTAGAGCATTACTACACGGCGTTGACTACCCATTTGAAGGTGAGAACGATTTCCTAATTAAAAGTCAGTCAATGTATACATTATTTACCCATATAAAAAGGGTTTCAATCCCATGAAAAAATTAAGAAACTTCATTACGCACACCCTATCTTTTGATGGACAGCAGAATGGGTTGAAACTGGTTATGAGGATCCAATGTTCGCTTATGGAAACCAGAAAACTAAACCCAAATGGCCAACGACGTTATGCTCTATCGTGGGGTCTGATGTAGTTCGCCACTCCAAGTTCTGGGGCTTAGGTTACCGGTTTCTATGACTGAAAAGCGGGTCCCTGTGACCGTGGGGTTTTGTCTGCTACTCATCACACTAAGTTCTAATAAAAAGGAACCTAAATCGGAAGTGTATTGATCTTTCCATCCCTGCGTTCACATATAACTTGGTTCATGTTACTTGCTCCCATAAATACCCCGCAGATCCCCATCGATCACAAAAGAATATGTAATAGAACAATCACCTACCGCTTCATTTCCTAATAAGTAGTGGTGGAACGTTTTGGAGAGTACATGAGATAAATGTTCACATTATAGTGAATTTTGTCGTCCACAGTGCAAAGAGAGCCTAGACTGAAACTCTAAAAAGCTGAGCATCGATAATTAGGTCTTGTTCGGTCTCATCAGCAATTCAAATCCTTAGGGTAGTACCTGTTATCTAGGATAAATAAACGCAAATTACCCTAAAGCTCGCGATTGCGGTGAAGAGCAATACGACTGCCTTGAGCGAGTAAGAAGACAAAATGTGACCAACAGTTTATCAAGTGAAACCTGCAGAGAAAGATTTACACGTTCCGAGAGAGAGAGTGGACTCACCGGTATAAGTGACAATTATGCGGTTCAGTGTAAACAGGTAAGGTGCACCTGGTGAAACAGCGGCGTTTCTCGTAGGCAAAAGGTGAAAACAGTGTTACCACAGATCGACCTCGGAACTTCACAGATAATAAATAAATACATTACCTAATTGATGCGGGCCAGCTGTTTTGACCGCTTCGTATTTGGTCCCTACACGTTATAGCACAACCCGTCGTTGCATGTTTGTTGTAGACATCATTCTTAATAATTTCAGGCAATGGTGATCCAAGAGTCTTCAGTACTTTTGATGAACGTAAGATCCAGGGTTCCAACTACACCACCATTCTGTTTTGGTGATGGACACCTTCGATTTTGTCCAATAAAATGCTACGCCTACCGCATTAAACCGTTGGTTGGTTTTAAGCCTATCTGTTAAATGTTCACAACAGGCAATGTATCCCCGTGAGGAAAACTTCATAGTGGTGTGACGAAAGATCTTAAAGAAGCTGTATCAAGCTTAAAAAGACACTTTCTCACCTCATACTCTTTCCCCACTCCGCGATTTAAGAATTCAGCTTCATTCGATATGGGATACGATCAAGATAGGTGAACATGACAAAGAGCTTTGTTTATTCAGCGTAAGATGAACAAATTAATTATGAATAGCTTTTGCATATTGGAATTTCAGTTAACTATCTTGATGCTTCCGAGCCTCTATAACCCATTGCGCTATACATGTTTTTTGCTAGTTTCAAATCTAATGATTAGGAATCAGAAGTTTACTGTCACATGGGGATAAACGTTATTAGTGCTTCTTCCCTCCACATCTTCCCCTGAATTTGTCACTCCGGAAGATGGATTCAAGATGTAAAGATCAACCAGTCGGGGCACTCACAAAGTAATTAACATGCTTATGATTCCTTCCTGATAGTTTTCAGATCGGTTGATCACTGCTCATCTACGGCTTCTTTCATGGGATTTACATTCAATTTCGCAGGGTCCATCTATGACGTGTATTAAGATCTTCAGGTGATAGATTTCAAGCTTTCTCGATGCTTCCACGTTTCCACATTGGCATCTATGCATCACTGCCACAGAGTTCTGCTTTCGGGTCAAAATTTACTTCAGAAAATACCAGAGACACCGTCACCGATGTGTTTTTTGTTGCGTTTGGTCTGGACGTACGAATGACAAACGACTCAACCCCCAACAACAACGCGGAGAGAGAACACAACTGGAGACAACAGTCAGCGTGTATTAATTTTTGTTTGGAGTTCGATACGGAAGTATATAGAACAAATCATGCCATCGAGAACGGTGCAGTGACTCATCAATCATCCAGACTGCATTCTTGACATATCGATTGATCGATCGGATAAACTGGCTGACTAGTTCTGCAGTCACCCAATCCGGACTTAGTCTGCCTGGAGTGTTGCGAGTGTGCGTGTGGCCTCATTCGGAGGCGCGCATGACCTCATTGGTTGTTTAATCTCCGTCCTAACATTCTCCATGCAAATTTACACCTATTTGAGACAATAAAACTAGTTCGTTCACTTGTAGATGTTTCTGACCCCGTTCTTTGAACAATTGCCAAACGTTTACGCTTCAGATCCGATCTGTGCAACAAATCAAGTATGTAGAAGATTCCGACTTGTCGGAGCTCGGATTTAGCCGCCCTGAACAGCGACGCCTTCGCAAGTACTTCAAGCGCGAATGTCCACAAACAACAATGGGGAAATTGCGCAAAGTAAGTCTAATGTATTGTGTCGAGATAAAAAATATCACAACATGAAAACAAATTTTGTAAAATGTTTTGTATCAATTCTCTGTTTATTGGTTTATGGGAAATTCTGTCGACGACTAATATTGTTTAGACTGATTCCCACCAGAAATTGACAAATTTAAAACTGGTTTTCTCCGGCGAGACTTGTCAGTTGAACTGCTTTAGTGTAATTACGGATTACAGTTAAAAGCACTTGTCTCGATTCATAAAAGATGGCATTTTCGCTGGGTCCCTGTCATGAAAGATTGAAATATTTTTTGTGTTGTTTCCTGTGAATTTTCAATAGATATCTTCATGTTTTTGTGTATTTGATGATTTAATTACTTCGTTAGTCCTAACTCCTCGATGACGATAAGCCGGCCTGATGATATTTCATGGCTTTCTGATTCATGGGATGTCAACAGTGTCATCCGACTGTCTTCGGGGATACAGCTCGAACCTTTTCACAACCGAGTACGAATTGCTATGCGGAAACATCTTTCTGGCATGGTTTCCGGTGGCTCGTTATGACCTCATTCATGATTCAAAAGATGTAAATGTAACGCATGGGTATGTGCATCCCACTTAGTTGAACACCCTGTAGCTGTGCTGACAGGAAGTAGAACCCATCCTCTCGCTAAGGGGAAAATGTGCTCATATGCTGTGTCCCGTCCTGTTCCTCCTCGGTTACTCTCAGCGGGGCTTATTTCCCACGTGTCCAGCTGACCTCGTATCGTGGCCACAAAGGAAAGTTGGGTAAACAATAAATGCTGAAAAAGTGTAATATGTTCCATTAAAAAACCTCATTCTTCACTGCGCACCTTCATGCAAGAAGCGGTTCAAGAGTTAGTCACCTTAGTTGCAAGGGTCTACTTTTTGGTGATGGGAACCAGGAATCTAAACATTGGAACTTAGGACAGCTCCAGTCAGATAGTCGTAGTATTAAGACGAACAGCAACAAACTGACCATCAGATACCCGTATACCCTCACTCAGTGGCTTATATCCGCAGACCTCTTACGGTTCCAAGCAGTTGGGATGGTTTTTAACGTTCTCACTTGACGGACTCTGTTCATGAAAGACATACTTCATTGCTGAACGTCGAGGTTACACGGACCACTGGGATCTCACACAAATTAGGAGTTCTACTGTGTTCTTAGCAGCACCTAACACCCGTGTATTGATTCGAATCTCACAGATGCTTCCCATGTGGAATAACTAATGAAAAATGCCGAATCTGTCAAATAACCTTGTGCATTGGATAAGTTTCATGTATTTCCCAAGGTTTTTATTCCCATAAATTCGGCAGGTGCTTTTCTGTGTTATCTGAAAAGTAGTGAACTGAATCTTTAAGCGAGACTGACACTTGGATTTTTATTCATCATTGGGGATAGAAGAGATTTTATATCACCCATCGTGTTCGAACTACCCGCCCACGGGATGCTGTAAACAACTGTAACTTGGAAATATCATTATGGACATCCCCTTTGACCATAAGGTATCCCGCCCATTTGTTTCACGGAGATCACGAGGTTTGGGCTGCCAGGAATTCCGTTACTTCGAATGGAAAAGCTCATTGTCATTCATCATGTTACACGAATCAGATACACTATCGGTCCAAGTATCGAAATGGATGTGCAGATAAGACGTATATCTGATGGGTAGTACCAGCAACGCACCTGGCTTTATGCTCCCTATGAAGTTTTATCCAGTATTTTAAATAATAATCACGGAAATCCATCAGAATTCAATCCTTCTGTTCATGCGACTGACGTTAAATCATTGTTTGGAATAAAATATGAATTCTGTTCCAAGAGGACTTTCAGGAAACTCTCCAGTTGTAGCTAGAATACATTGGTGGTAGGCAGCTCTGCTGTCGTCCGGTTCAATACCACACCCAACCTATCGGGGCCTTATATGGTTTACCACTTCAAGCCCCGGGCTTAGGTTACCGGTTTCCATCACTGAACAGCAAGTCCTCGTGATTATAGGGTTCCACCCCGTCTGCTGTTCATCACACGAAAGTGTGTAATAAAAAAAATTTGTCGCAGGGCTTTTCTCAGCCAGACAGGAACTTTTCTACTACACACATTTGTGTGGTAAACAGCAGAAGGGGCG